GTTGAATCGCGTCCAAAGCCTGTATTCAATATTACATTCATTTATTTCACCTTGTTTTTTTTTATCAAAATGTTTATTGAAACAATATCTAGTGATGTTACTTCAGCTCAGCTCATCTGCCCTTTCAAAGAGAGTGGTTGCTACAGCGAATGTACGATCACACGGAAAGGTTAAGGCCTTATTCGAAAGGATTGAGATGAAAGTCTATGCGCTTCATTGGCTTTGGGCTTTGTGTAGGATGAAGTTTATGTATGAATTTATGGCTAAGCAAACCTAAAATTGTAAAAAAAGAAATGTCCGTAGGTAGATTTGGGTACATTGGTGTTTATTCTGCATAGGTTCATTGGTAATATAATATTATGAAAAAATATAGCTTACCTCAATCAGAGTCTTGCCCTCGACCTTGCCTTCCTTGCGGTCGATGGTCCAGCCCTTGAACCAGGGCATTTTGTCGGAGGGCTCCAGCATGTTGTCGCCGTGCCAGCCAGAGATTGGCACGAATGCCACCGTGGCGGGGTTGTACCCTGGCGTATCAAATTTATATAAATCTGCTTCTTTTATGTTGGTAATAATGATGTACAGTACATTAAGGGAAGAAATGAATACAAAAGTGCACCTGTTTTACGAAAAATAGCAAAAAAATATTGTGTAATAGCGGCTAACGAACACACGGATCGCTGGCTGGCATGCATTCAGTGCCGCCCATAGACACCCACAATAACAGAGAAGTCACAAGTCAGCTGTCGACCTTCTGGGGGTCAGGGATTCGAGGAATAGAGACCTAGGGACTGAGGATAATGGGAGTGGAAGAATTAAATTTCCGGTAACCTCACTTACACCGACATTACTCCGAACATTAGTAGTAATTAGGACGTACCAATTTTTTTGATATAAGAAGACACTTCTTTCTTGATTTCCTCGTAGCGTGCCTCGTGGTATGGTGGTTCAGTGGAGTCCATCTTGTTAACGCCAACGATAAGCTGTTTGACACCGAGAGTGAAGGCGAGAAGGGCATGTTCGCGTGTTTGTCCATTCTTGCTGATACCAGCCTCGAACTCGCCTGTACCCGCAGCCACAATCAGAACCGCGCAGTCAGCCTGACACATATAACATCATTGTACCCCATGTTCCAAATTTCTAAGAGATTTTGTTAAAATGATTATATCTTACCTGCGACGTGCCGGTGATCATGTTCTTGATGAAGTCTCTATGACCGGGCGCATCAATGATTGTTACGTAGTACTTGCCTGTTTCGAATTTCCACAGCGCTATGTCAATCGTGATACCTCTCTCACGCTCAGCTTTTAGCTTGTCTAATACCTATGAATTTAAAAACCAATAATACAAAATTTATTCATTAAACATTTTATATATTATTATCATCCTAATACCTTTGTAGGTACCTTCTTCTAGGAACAGCTAGGCTATTCCGTAAGATGTCGATTCGAACTATTGAAGTGAGGTCGACCGCGGTTTGCCATATTAATATCACTGAGTGTGACTAATCTCGAGAGTTCGAATCGGCATCTTACAGAATATCCTGGCTAGAAAATATTCGACAAGATCCTTAACAAATGTTAAGCATTAAGGCACATACCCAAGCATACTTGAAGGAACCCTTGCCCATTTCCTGAGCCTCCTTTTCGAACTTCTCGATAGTCCTCTTGTCGATGCCGCCACATTTGTAGATGAGATGGCCAGTGGTGGTGGACTTGCCCGAGTCTACGTGGCCGATAACCACAATGTTAATGTGAGTCTTCTCCTTACCCATCCTTTTCGTGTCAAGCGAAACGTATCTGGATCAACTTGTAACCTAAATAACAAAATTTTGATAATTTATGCAATGTAAAGGAACTGAAACCGTAGATTGGATCAATTGTAAGCATTTTCCTTCATACGAAATGACAAGTGTATATCGGTACCTAGGTAGTTTAGGTACCCAAGCTCGTAGTTATTACACAGCGCTTTGTCTAAAGGTCAACAAAGAACCTTTTCTATACCCGGCGAAGTGTAAGTAGGTACATAATTCTGATTAGAGGTCTGATATTTTGGTTCACTATATTTATACACTCAAAACGACCTGACCTCTACCTATAAATCCTATAATTACCCGCTGTGTGTACACATATAGCCCTATGTTAGGTACAACTTTAATGCCATGCTCATGTTTGATTTCACTTATAATTCGTTTAAACACAGGGGTACTTACCCTAGGTCCTACCTACATTACATTTGCTGCACTCAAAATGCACTAATAAATAAGTGGGCGATTTGTTCGTAACTCGAAATTTTTCCAAAGAGTCACTCCTTCGGGCGTGCGCGTGGGAGATCCGGGACATCGATACAGCGAAACTGTTACGCCAAATATAGACTACAAGTTTTTCTGTGCGAAATAACATACTTTCGTTTTTTTTTAAATAAAATTCAACATGATCGTACACAATAACCACGAATGCAATTCTTAATTTCTTCATGAAATAAATTGCAACGTCATTGTGTACATCGATAGTTACCTATATTTTTGTTCTATTTTATTTACCCATGAAGAAAACATAATTGTAGTTAACCACTTAGATACCCTAATATTATATCCAAACCACTTAAGGGTATCAAAAACCGTAATATTATATCTAATAGCTAGGTAATGTAGGTAGGTATACCTAGAATAGGGAATTATCTAATTATTTAGGTAGGTAAATGAATTCTACGTTTTGATTCGCGCGTCAAGTAGGTAAATAAGAACGAAGGTACTGATGGGTGCGCTTACTTTACACTTAAAAAACTAGGTACGACATGAGCTTGCAATATTAGCACCAATGTGAGCTTAAAATGTGTAGTTAAACTTACATTTTGTTTAATAAAATTTGAACGAAATTAGGTTTACTATAGCGCGGGCACTAGACAGAAACTGTACAAAGATTTTAACGTAATGACAGTGTATATTTTATTAACTAGGTATCACAAGTAGAAAGTGCATTCAATCTAAAATTAGTAGACGTGATCTATACAAGTACTTAAACAGATGTCTTTGCAACAGTATGATCAGTATGATTCAGAATTAGAATACCTCATAGCATGTTGCACTACATAGGCATCATGTGCCGGAGACGCATATGGGCTTCGCAGTGCGTCCATCTTAAGTATTCTAGGTAATGCATCAGAAAGATTACGATCAATCACCATGTGCCCGGTATATAGTCGAAAATTAATCATAATGACAATTATTGTGACATAACTTTAAAATTGGAAGAATCTTATTTTTCACTTCAAGTGCAGAAAGACAAGATGACAGATGATAAAAATGGGTCCTTTCAAGTTAATTAAAATGAAACAATGCCTCTGCTCTTGGAAATAAAGTCTACTTATTATTTTATAGATTTATTATCCTGTCGTCAAAACAAAACCGTGTGTCATGAGAATCACTAGAGGTGACAAAATCCCTTCTATTGCAATACACTTAAACAAAAATGAAAAACCAACAAAAACAATTAAATTGCGTAATTTTAAAATTCTCATACCGGTAGAATGTACTTGCGTTTGTATAAAGTGGAAAAATATTTTTAGGAAAACCACTACTTCATATGAAATTCTTGCTGTTCAGAAGTTACAGTACGGTTTAAATGCTATAAAGTAACTAAAGTCTTTTATATTTTCCTATAAAATACAAGAAAAGCTCACCTTCGCTGCCGCAGTCACGAATTTTCCGAGCAATTTTCGAGCATGCGCCGTGAACACTTCGCCCGGGAAATGCAATCAATAAAATCAAATTTATACTTTAAAATGAGTATATTCAAGTATATAAATGTATTTTACCGTAAAAGTTATTATAATTAATAATAAAATTATTGGAGATAACACATTTAAATAACAATATCGTGATATTTAATTGGGTATTGAAAAGCAGTATGAAAAACCGGAAGTTCGCAACTTTCTTTTTCTTTGTGCTTTCTTCTATGTTTAGGTACCAGTAATTGAGAGGTTTTTTGTAAAAAGGATTTAAAACATTTAGATATCTGTCGATTAATGTTTCATACTATTGCTAAAAAACAGTTTAAAATAATTTAGTAATGAAAATTGATTATAAAATATCTTTTAAAAGCTAACATGAAATATCTTGGGTACCTAGCCGTAAAAATAATACGAAAGTATCGTCTTCTTCAGTCTTATACTTGCCTTTGGTTGTTTGCTTTTTGGTGATTACTAATAATACTTTAGCGTAAAAAAATTAATAGGCCTAGATACAACTTACAGAAATAATAAAACATATTTACGAAAGATACTAACCATGGCATTCATTACCGACAGAGAAAACGGACCCTTCGTGGGTCTAGGGTAGGAAGCTGTTACAGCGTAACAAGAAATACATACGTTGTTACCTCTTGCCAAATTGCCTCAATTTTTACAGAACTGTTAGAACTTAGAAGTCCTTTGTTAACCATCTCGGGAATCGAACTTGGAACTTTAACCTTAGCAGTATGTTTACATAAATATAGTTGATTGGCATGGTTATTGATAGAAAATTAAATTAACATAACATAACATTACGCCCTCTATCCTCGAAGGGGTGCACATTATACCACTGTACAATGTAACACCCACTTTTCATAAACTATTTATATTTTGAGTCCCATGATTACATAGGACTTAATGGGGGGTGAGCAAAGAGTATAATAAGTATAGGGGATGGGGTGAGCCTGGTGAGGCTAGGTGCCATATACCGGGCACAGTTCCAGACTCCGTGCTACTACTGAGATTTTTTTAGAAACCCAGTAATATTTTGCCCTACCCGGGAATCGAACCCGAGACCTCTTGCCCGGCAGTCGCACCACTCAGTCAATGAGGCAGTCAGAGCAGAGCAGAGAAAATTAAATTAAAACAAATAAAAACAATTTCATATAAAATTTCACAAAACTTTAATGTTTTAAACTAAATGTTTAATTCAGTTCTTAAAATTACATTCGAAAATACTTACATAATTACTATAACAAATAATTAAGTATTAAAATTATAATTATAATAAAAACTTGTGTGTATAATAATTTTGCATAACAAATCATTAAATAAGGTATAAAAAGCATTATAACTGGGTACTTATAATTTGCTTAAACTTTATGTATACTTTATGGTCTTTATATTAATATTTATATTAGCGTGATAAGCTAAATTATTTACCGTGATATGATTTCATCTACTCGCTGTGTCGCAGTTGCATATACGTCACTGATACGACTATGATAGCGTTATAATCGTTAACTGTAGAACAGAACCCTTTGAACGCCTCTGTCGGCTACAGACAACAAACAAAAAATGGGCTACATACTCGACAAGACTACGTCATTTATTAAGTACATTTTGTTTGTCGATTAAAGCCGACCGTGGTGGACAAAGGGTTGTGCAGTTGCGTTAAAATAGAGACCGGACACTTGATTATATAAAAGCACGTATTTAAAATATACTTTAAAAAAGTTGCATTCTGTAATTTCAGCAACTCGTAATGTTTTAGAGTGAATTAAATGTTGCTGTAATGTACTTTCAAGCACACATAATAAATATGCTTATATCGAAAGAAAGCTTGTCATTGAAATTCATCAAAAACGTGAATTGCCCAGAGGTAAAATATTATATCACATAATGCACATTCTGGAATTATTATTACTTTTAGTATACTAAAAAAATTGGAATGAACGATTAATGCTATCATACCATTAGAAAATCATCAATTTATTGCTATTATGTTAAATCTATGACATCATTTTACCTATGATACCTTTAAAATATCTGATTTAGTGTTATCCCTTTTCCAGACCACCTTTTTAATAACAACTACAAGAATGATAATATAAAATACATCTATATTTATCTTTCAATTACTTATTTACATATGGCTATTTGAAGAAAAAAAAATAAATAACTGTAAAATATCACCATAAATTTAAGAATAGCATTTGAAAATAGAATAGTTTATTATCCAATAATATACACTTAGCCAAAAAATTATAGCCTTAAATGCAAAAAGTTCTGAAATAATGAAAACTGTTTCGTCGATAATGGAATCACAGATAATTTACAATTCACTATTGCTTGGAGCATGGCTATCATATTTTGTTAGACAGGTTTAAATATGTATTTCTTGTTATTTCCCTCCTGGCCAGGGAAGGTAGCTTCCCCACCCTTTCCCTGGATTTGGATCCAAACCTGTGAAAACAATATTTATTAGAATTTAATAACGTGGTCAATAAAATAGATAAAAATAAATCATGATCATAAGATATGAAAGCTTTTAAAACTTTGGGTAGAGCTTTGCTTCTATAAGTGTTTGAGTATTTAAACATATACTACAGGATGTAGGCAGACATTCACTAATAAATTTAATATTACTAAATAAATGAACACCAAGAATGGCAACCGAATAGTGCCATTACTTATGTATCAAAAGTGTTTCGATTTTATACAAAATCTGCAATAGCAAAAGTTCGAGAAAATCTCTTCGACTCTATTATTGTTATATTATTAATATATTATTAATAAGGTCCCAGTCCCAGTGCGACTTGATACTAGTAGTTTTTCTTGAATAGTTCAGTACGATTACTATTACACAAAAAACATTTACTATTATCTATAATAGCTCTTTATGTAAATTAAATAGTACTAATATTAGTCGCTGGCACCAACTAAACTAACTTCAAGTTTACCAATACCTCTTCACTCCTCGCCATGCCATGCCAGATAGGAGGGTTTATCTCGACTTGTTGAAAAATAAAATAATTATTAATAAATTAATGTTACCCTTAGCAACGGCATTAATTTTATGCGTCTCGTCTTGTGTGAGTGTAAGTATCTTCTGCAGCACTGGTACCAGCCGGCTGCGCTCGTCGCCGGGTGGTAGTGTCAGGAACTGTAAGTAAGTAATTTAATGGGAATTAGGAAAATTCTGGATCTTAAAATATATCCAACCCAAAATTTATTTATTATTTACGTCGAGAGAATGCTTTGAATATAACTTATTACACAATGTCTTACTTCGACGGTTTCTGTAAATTTTATTATAGTAGCTGTATACTCGATGACTGTATGATTATCGAAACAGTTCACAAAGAAAGTTATTATGATAAACGTATTATTATATAAGAAGGGACCAGGTCATTTTTACGTACCTTTAGCGTAACGTTTTTCATATATTCTGTGTTGTGTGCGTTCTGTGTAGCTCCTCGCACTCGCCGGAGTTCTGCCTTCAGCAGCTCGCTCAGCTGGGCCATGCGAGCGCATTCACGTTCCGACTCCGACAATAGTACCGTCACGTGCTTCACCCTGTACGACGAGAGAATTTATGTAGTTAGGAAACAAAGTCTAAGTACAGATAATGTAATGTTTAGCTTCAGCAAAAGTTGCATTTTTCACTTTAGTATCCAATTGCATAGCCATGTTGTGACGGCAGACCGCAGAGTAGATTACATTTGTAAATACATTTTAATTCATTGATTTGATTTGAGTTTTACCTCTGTTGTTGAGCTTGGAGCCTTCGTTTGAGGTCAGCGATCTCCTGGTCGGGTGTGAGTGCAAAAGAGGAGGTGTCCATAGCCTCGTCGTCGGGGACACCTTCTTCCAGGAGTCGTTCCAATGGTACTGGGGACCGGCCGCTAGCCCCTCCAGAGAGGTACGGCTTCGACGGAGGCGGGGACGGAGCAAATTCAGAACCCTGGAAATATATGATGTGTGTTTTTATATGTATAGGTAAAAGACCAAATATAAATATAAACGGTTAAAACAATGGGTTTGGCTCAAGCCAAACCCATTGTTTTTATTAAAGTAAGTAAGGTCAACCTTACTTTAAGGTTTCATTAAAGTAAGGTTGACCTTATTTCTTTCGTTGGATAGATATGTAGTTGAAGTATTTACTAAGAACAATATTCTATCATTGGTAGAAATTGTGCGTGTTTATTAAAGATACTAGAAGAACTCCAGGTATACAACATCTTCTGTCAACATCTTCTCTTAACATTTAACAAGTTTTTGTTTTGTTCCATATTTTTAAAACTTTTAGCAAAGTTTAGCAGAGAAATATTTATAAAAAATACATGTATAAACAATAACTCACGAGTGTAACAACAATGTTCATAACAGCAACAGCATTTACTTGTAATTGGGTGCGTTGAAATATACATTCAAAAGAATAAACGTTCAAGAATTCATGAAGAAATTTTATTACTATGGCAAATGTTCAGATAAGGCAATTACGTAGGATAATAACAACGTATATAGCTGGTTTTTTTATTTCTAGCTTTAATACTAATTGTTACATACACCGGTATATGGCAATAGGCTTACTCCTAATTACATGGGACTCATAGTCATAACTTTGTAGTTTGTGTGACACCTCGCCCTACAAGTAGCGTAAGTTAACTATTAAGACACTTAGTTAAAGCCATTCCTAGGAACAACACGTCTCCCTTATTGATACACATTGCAACATAAATAGTGAAAAGTGGGTGTTATACACTATACAGTGCTATTATATTTATGGAAATCAATTGAAATCATTGTGTAAAACAAAAATATTACAACTTGTTAACTGATTGTCGAAGAACCGCTATCAGTACAAGGCAGTATTTATACACGGAGACCTTAGTTTGTATCTTAGTGCAGATCCCGTATTTTACCCTTGGGTACGGAACTATTAAAGAAATAGTTATTATATTACCTCTCCTTCTTCCCTCGGTATCATAGAAACGTTGATATCCATCTCGCCATCGCTGCTTTCTTCCTTCGGTATAACTGGCAACATGTACTCGTTTCTGTTGGCGTCTTCAAGCGAAGGTATAGCGACGTTGCCAGACTTCTTCGCTTCCTGAGCAGACGCCAGTTGCTTATTCAATGATTCAATTTCTTTCTGCAGCTTAGCTTCCATTTCACTCATTTGAGTTTTGTAGCATTGTGTTAGTGTGGAGACCTATAAGTAATACATTTTTAAAGAAATTACGAAAATTAATCTTGACATTAAAGACATTAGGTTAAACTTGATAGTCTAGTGTTAAATGCGAGTGGCAACCATAATGTCGCTCTTTAGATTGAGGTCAGACAAATTATTTTGCAGTGCTGTGTCCCCAGTAGTCTGTTCAAAATAAGATTTTTAAAGGTGAAAAGTGTCATATTCGTCTCTCTATCTAATCCTTCTTTTTAAAGTTAGCTTGTACTGCAACTTACTTGCAACTTATTCTGTGTTCTCTCTGTCTCAATCTGCTGTGACAGTCGAGTGAGGTCAGCCTGCAGTCGCGAAGTTCTCTGCTGAGCTCGCGCCGCCTCATTCGTAGCCTCCGCCGCTCGCCTCCTAGTACTCTCTACTTCCGATGTCTTCTCTGTTATTTGCTCCCTAAGAACATTATCATAAGTAATTGTTATAAAATATTTATATTCTTTGTATTTTACGCATTATTCCTAATGTATTAATTTCTTGCTAAAACGCGTGTTCTAAAATATAATTCCAATTGTACTACAACTACAATTGACTAGGTATGTATCAAGAAACTACTTAATGCAAAACAAGCTCCCAACAACATTTAAAGGAAACGACAAATATTGATAACCCCTTCAACGCTTGCCACATAATGGATTAATAAATCAATTATTATTGGAATATAATTCTACGATTTAAATGTGTTATTTCGAAATGATACCTATGAATTTATATCAAAACTTTGCAATAAATAATGCCCCAGACAGTAACACAGTTGACTATCTTCGTAAGAATATTATACAAATGTTATGAAAGTAATAAGTGCAAACTATTGTACTCATTTGTAAAACAAACATTATAGAATACATTAAGAAAATAAAAACACCACATGTCTGTTACAATAATACGAATATTAATAATTATATTTTACTATCGATGTTGTCGACCAAACAAAATATGTATAGGAACGTAAAACGTTTTGTGTTTTTATTCATTATGGATAAAAGATACCTATTGTAGCTAGATTATTTATTTGTAATTTTGATTCACACTGCATATTTTCTTATAACGTTTTATTGAACTCTGCAATATTTTATGCAAGCAATTAACTGCCCTTTACTTCTACACCTTAGAGCACTATATTCTCAAAACAAACAATGCTCGAGGAAACTCTGTTCATATGAAACAATCACTCACTGAGCTGTCGCAAGTTTAGTTGTTAGTATTTCTATCTGTGCTCTGAGAGCGGCCGCCTCTTCTTTTAGCTGCTCTTCTTGGCTATGATCCACAGTCTGATTCTGTCGTAATACGGCCTGAGCTCGAACCTGACACAAGAAATTCATATCATTGTGAATGAAAAACAGTATTTAATCACTTGTGTAAAAGGATTAATGTAGAGGAACAGTACCTTGTAACTTGTATACTCAGTCTTCAAATCCGCCAATTCTATATTGAGGATTCTTAACTTTTCATTCAATTCGGAACATTTGAATTCCAATTTCTTTACTTTGTTGTTAAGTTCTGCCTTATCTTCGCCTAGAGACATTATAACTTTTTCTTTGTCGGTTAGTATTGACGTCATTTCTAAATCAGATTCTTCATTCTTTCTCTTTTCGTCTTCTAAATCTTGTTCCAATTTAGATATGATTGTGTTTTTCACTTGTATCAGATTATCCTTTTCTTTTCCATCTTCAATAGAGTTTTGTAGCTCTTCCTTAACAATCCTGTTTTGCCTCTCCTCAGTTTTAATTTGTTCCTCTAGTAATTTTATTTGCGTTCGCATCGCTGTGATTGTTCCTTCTTGTGTGTCTATTGTCGACTCCATCTGTAAATGATCAAATTGATTGCTTCTTAAATTGCTTGCTGAAATTGTGTTGTATATTTCCATCTACAATGAAACCACTGTAGTTGTAGAAAGCTACAGGAAAAGATCAAATTCCAATCGAAAGTATCCGAGCAATGGGAGAGATATGACTGACAGGGAAATGGCCTTCAGAGTGGGCTCCCACGTTTTCACTCAGCTACATAAAAAGGGTTCGACTAAGAAATGAGGCAACTATCGAGTCGACGACACGCCAGTAAAATAATGCTACATATTATTAACGAACGACTGAAGGCATATTTATCCAGAGAAGTTGCGCCAGAACAGGCCGATTTTGTGAAGGGCAAGGGTACCCGTGAGTAAATTTTCATCGTTTGCCAAATTATCTAAAAAGCACGAGAATTAGAATTCTCGTGCTTTTTAGATAATCTTGTAGACAAGACCACATACATATGCCTGTCGCACACCCGCGCTTTTAATGCTTTTAAGAAAAAAGCATTTGACTCGGTGAAATGGCCGACGCTATGAAGAACGCTACTGGATATGGGCACACCGCAACACCTTGTGCATCTATTCAGGGGACTCTACGAGAGGGGAACGGAATCAGTTCGTACAGAGGACATCCTCTCCCGACAGTTTTCACCCAAGCGCGGGTGTGCAACAGGGATGCATACTTTCGCCGTTGCTCTTTAATATATACACTTGAGCTTGTGATGCGAATCACTCTGGAGAACTGGAACGATGGTGTTGTTATTGGTGGGTATAAAATTCCAAACTTGCGATACGCAGATAATACCACCTTATTTGCAAGCAATGCGGATCTCGCAGGAATTACTAAATGGGGTAGACGACTAATTTTTATTTTAATGTCCGTCTGGTAGATTATTTAAAAACATTAGACACGTATTTTTTATTTTCTTACGGAAACGAATAGTTTCGAAGATATATTGATTTGAAATGTCGCGTGACGTCACTTCTCAGTACATTTTATACTAAGAAATGACGTTTTAGCCCCCACTCCTAAACTTTGATTCGTTTTATCTAAGTATTGTTTTATTATACAACAAAATAAAAAAATACGTGTCTAATATTTTTTTATTACCTAAGTTACGGACTAATTATATTTTTAATTTTCATACCCTGTCATCATCCCCATTAACCGATCTAAAACAAATAATGATCGTGGACCGCGTCAAAGACAATTCGCCAGCAGTTACACATATTGCGAATTGCGACGTGGTTCAATACTATATATATTTTGGAACCTTCATATCCAACAGGGGTGGTTGCGTGGATGAAGTTAAGCACCGCATGGCTATGGCCAGAACTGCGGTGGGATAGTAGAGGGAACCAGATCACGAGGCAGATCACCTATGCGCTGGACTGATTAAGTCAAATCGGCAACGGGAAAGCCAGTGTCAGACTGCGCCAGACAATCTACAAAAAGAGAGAGATGGCGGGAGATCGTGAGGAAAGCTGTATCGGCCTCCAACACAAATTCGGCCGCCTCAACGTGACCACGACCGCTCTGCCAAGAGCGAAACAACAGAGAAGAAGAGTTGTGGAAATATGAATGTAACAACAATATGAACTCGCCTGCATCATTTTCTTCTTACTCTCCTCCATCTTTGTCGAAAGTTCCTTCATCGACCGTTCGTAATCTTCCATTTCGAGACTCAATACGTTTTTCTTCTTGACATCGCGTCGTGCTTTCTCCAAACTATCCTTAGTTACTTTATGCGCTTCCACTTCAGTTGCCAGTTGTTGCGTTTTCAATGCTAATTCCGCTAAAATATTGTAATGAAAACATGTTCTTATTAGTTGATTTGTTAGCGTAACTTATTGTTTGAGATATAGGAGGTAAATAATAGGTACCTTTTAACTTGTCTAATTCAGAAGTAACATTTTTCGTCGCCTCTAGAGCAATAGTTAAAGATTTGACTTTTTCTTCTAGTTCTTTATTCTCAGCCGCTTGAGTTGTGTTATCGGTTTGACGACTATCGACTTCATCTACATGGTTACCCGATTTGCTCTCACTTAGCAACTTTTCAAGCTTTGCTTTGTCTTTTTCTGTCTGTTGCATCTGACTTGTAGTCTCATTCAGTTTCTTCTTCAGCTTCAGAGCAAATATCCTTAATTTAGTGTACCTGTAAGTAGGTCAAAAATAATTTATCAGTAAATTGAAAAGTATTCTAGGTACTGTATGATCTACTAAAAATATTTCCATACTTCTCTTCAAATGTTTCATCTAAATCTTTCATTCGAGAATGTTCTTCTGCTTTAGATATAGTTGAAGTTGACATGTCCTCATTTGGTAATTCAGCTGTAACATAAGGAATGACATTTAAAATTTTGTACATATTTTACAATTATAAACCACAGCGATTTTATTGTTTAATCTGGTTGTAATACACAGTCTGGTACCTGATGTCACTTGTTGTTGTTTCAGTTTCTCGATTTCTTCTTTTAAAGATGTTATTATTTCATCTTTTTTAGACAGAGCTTTCATGGCATTATCCACATCTACATTTAATTGATTCGCAGTTTCAGTCTTTTCATTTGACTTTTGCTCTGCAGTTTGTAAATCATTTTGGAGCCCTTCATTCTTTTTCAGTAATTCTATTTTCTCTTGATTCATATTATCTCTGTCCTTCTCTAAAGTCTCAACCAACTTTTCCATTTCAGACACAGCCTTTTGAAGTTTGGATATGGCTTCACCACGTTCTTTTAATACTTGATTGATTTCTTTCATTTCATTCAACAGTTCAGTATTTTCTGACTTGTAACTAGCCAATTTAGATTTGGCATCTTCATACTCAACAATTAAACTATCAAATTCCTTGGACTTGTTTCGCGCATCTTTTATTTCAGACAAAAGAGATGAATTTTCTTGTTTATAAGCAGCTAACTTAGTTTCTAATTTCGCAATGTCTGCTTGTAAAGATACATTCAGATCTGATAAGTCAGCATCATCTTTGGGTTGTTCCAATGAAAGTTTAAGAGTGTCCACTTCCTCTTTCAAAAGGTTGTTTAAATCTTGTAAATCTTCATGTTCTTTTTTTAACAAGTTAAATTGTTCTTGCTGAGCCATCAAATTACACTTCAATACATTTATCTCACCTTCTTTTTCAGCTTTAAAATTAATCTCAAAAGCAGCTTTTTCTTGACTGAGTACATCAAACTGAGATTTCATAGATTGTAATTCAGTTTTTGCTTCAACAAGTTGGTCTGACAACTTTGTAATTTGATTTTCAAGATCAACAACACTGTCTCTAGCATTCAGTTTCTCTTTGACTAAAGTAGATTTTTCACTTTCTAAAGCTTTAATCTGTAAAGTCAGATTCTCAAATTCTTCATTATTTCGGCCTTGATTAAGTAGTGTGTCATTTAATTTTTTATTTTCATGTTTCAGCATTTGTACATACTTTTCAAGTTCAGTAAATTTATTACTTGTGTCAACTAGCTTAACGTTACAATCGTTAAATCTTTTCTCTTGTAATTTATACTCTTCCAGTTTATTTTCTTTCTCACCGAGATCAACTTTGAGCTTAGTGATTTCATCACCACAACTCCTTAATTGTTGTTCTAAGTCAGATACTTTATCTTTGAATTCCATTTTCTCTTGAGTTAAAACAGATATTTGTGAATCAATAACACTATTCTCCATACTTGTTTGTTTCAATTTATTTAGTTGTTTTTCTAGTTCCAAAAGTTTTTCTTTTAAAGAAATATTTTCACTGCTTAGTTCATTAATCTGATTATCAAGCACTTTTGATGCACTTATGATATCATTTTGCCATTTAGGAATGTTCTCAGAATATTCTTTGACTGTTTTTGCCAAGATAAATCTTGAGTTTTTCAATTGATTAATGCATGCAGCACATTTTAAAATTTTGTCTTTATAACTCCTTAATTTGATATTAGCCTTTTCTTTTTTAGCCTTTTCAGACTCAAACAATTCATTTGCCTCAATAAATTTAGCTTCAAAGTCTACATTACTTTGAATTTTATTTTCTAAGTGTTGAATTTGACTCTTTAATTCTTCAATTTGGGATTTATATTGGTCTTCTGAAACAAGGAATACATATAATAACACAATGTTGTAATTGAATCTGTTAACAATTTATTTATTTATTTATTTATCTATTTATGCACAACACACAGACAGTACACAGGAGAACACATATATAAATAAATTGGAGGTACATATGTACTACATATTCCCGTAGGAATCTCTTCCTGCAGTCCTTCGACAGGAAAAACGGTAAAAACAGAGACACTGTGCGTAACATGACATGAACAAAGAAAAAGAACAAAATTTACCAAAATTTAAGCCAATACAAACTTAAAACTACATACACAAAATGAAACCGATAAATAATATTGTATTAAATAAATAGATCACAATAAAATACATACATATGATAGATACACATCAAATAATACACATATTAGAGTATATTACAAATAAACATATTATACATATATATATCGAGGGGTAACGAACTATTTGGTTTAAGCGACATTTTGAGCGATATTGAGTTATTATATATATTCGACGGAGTAAAATTCGCTGATTTCGAATATATATATAACTTAATATCGCCCGAAATGTCGCTTAAACCAAATAGTCCGTTAGCCCTCGATATATATATATATATGACACTAATTTGCACAAGATGAGGAAAGGTAGTGCTTGCGAGTCTTTTAAAGATTGGGATGGATTTAGAGTCACATTACGTGGTAGGGAATTCCAAAGTCGCACTGCATGAACAGTGAAGGAATAGGAGTAAAAATCAGTATTGTGTGAGACAATAGAAAGATTAGATTTAAGATGAGATCGGGAAAGAGCCTCAGGAGGGTGGGCAAAGGAAAAACGTTCGCGAAGGTAAGAGGGATAATCGGGATTAAAAAGTATATTGAAATTTTACATATCTAGTATAGTAAATAATTTAACAAATTAGACAATAATGAAGGAATACAAAACCTGTATGCACACTCTCTTCTAAAATTTTAAGTTGTTCCCTCTGTTGCATTCCAATATTATTAAACTCTGCAGCTCTAGCTTCAAACTCGGTGAGTTGACTCAACAGTTGTTCATTTTCTTCCAATAGCCTATTGTTCTGCCTTCTTAGTGAAGTAACTTCTATATCAAGATCAGATAACTTTTGATTTATTTCAGCTATTATGTTATCTTTCACAATCAAATCACTTTTGTAAGTATTAATGTCTTCCTCATAGCTCACACATTTATTGTTAAGTGCTTTAATCTTACTTTGGGCTGAATCCACTTCAGTAATAAAATTCAGTTTTTGTTCTGTCAATGAATCAACCAATTCTTGTAGAGTTTTGATATTCTCTGAACTGGCATTTTTTTCCTTTTCATATTTTTCAAGAAGTTTCTTGCATCCATCAAGTTCATTTTGCAACTCTGTGTAAGTAAAAATGTAGTGATTAAGCATTATTTAATAAAACTGAATAAACATTTTAAAACTAGAAATACCTGTCTTAGCGACTTTAGCTTTTTGAGCTATCACTAGAAATCCTTTGCATTTGGTTATTAATTCATCTCTGCCCAATTCATCAATTGAAGTCTTCTTCAGACTACCATCTTGACCCTGGAACATAAAAAGGTTTAAGTTATTTGTTAAATAATACACTTTCAATGGTTAGGGGCAATTGTTAGTACTAATTTTATGGACTGGCAGATTTGTGTAAGAAATAAATAAACTGTATAATAAATACATGTTTATTTGTCAGATACAGGATGTTATCACCGTATACGTAAGCACCAGCACTGGATTGGAACACAGTTTATAATTATAATTTGTTTATTGCAAATAAGAAATTTCATCCGCCAGGAACGATTAACTTAATACGGGATGTATTCGTGGAGTGGAATTGTATTAAGAACACTACAATGGGTTTAGTTCGAAAATACGACAGAATTTATACAATAACTAAAATAATTGCACGATAACAAACCGATGATTCCTGATTATCCATGATAGAATAGTTAAAAGTGCTATTTCATTCTTTAGCAAGAGTTACGTTTATAGACATTTGCACATTGCATAGAAACGAAATTAAATCTTTATTTATGTATTCTATAATAATTTTAGTCACATCACAATCAGCTCACATCACATCAGTCAGTCAACCAGACCAGATGTCAAAATAGAGAATGTCATCATCAAAGTTTCAAACTTCTTCAGGTTCATCAAAACGTCATTAGCTTGTCATGTAGTGTCACTTGATGAAGACCAGAATGAAGAATTGCTGAATATGACTCGACTAAGAAATCTATGTTTTATTGAAACTCAACTGTAAATTAAGGTTTTGAAATAATTTAATTAGGTACTATCTCATTTACCTCATATTTATGCAATAAAAATACAATGTTGGACTGTTGGACAATGCACAGCTCGTCTATTTAATTATGAAAATGACTGACGACGCCCCAGTCCTTTACATGGCGACTAGAGTAATATTGATACTTGCGTATTATTTTATACTGGTAGTAAACATAAATTACCGATAGCATTTTCACTAGTGAATGCAAAATCGAGGAAACACAGTTATTGGAACATTATTAAATTGCTGAAATGATCTAACACGAGATAGTAGTGTACTATAGAAACCATGTGTTGCAATAATTTTAATGTTGTTGGTTCCTCAAACATTCGTTCGTCATCATTCTTATTTCTGGTCAACGTGCAGGCTATGTATGTCCAGTTTTATAGCAATTAGTCGATTTGCTTCAAATGTCAACAATCAGTTGAATAGTATTTCAATGACATCTCTAACTTATAGTGTAATGGCGGCTCTAGTCATCACTGCTATCGTTTCATGTGTGTGAATGATTAAATTATTAAGTTTTGTAAAAATATGTGTTTTAAGTGTTGTGATTAATTGAAATGTGATATAAACCCGAACACTATTATTTCATCAACCCTTATAATTCTTTAATTTTCCAGGTGAGTGAAAAATATGTGTTTAAAATCTGAGCAATATCTTTTTGTCGCATTCGCGAACCTTTGCGGGGCGCGTCCATGAGTAATATTATGGCTTACTTTAGTTTTATTTTATTATTTTCTTATCTTGCCAAAAGCCAGTTTTGTTGTACCAAATATCTAAATAATAAAAATGTAAGTAGCCCACAGTACTTGATCAGAGCATAGCGTGATACACAGTGATGATACATTCGTGCGACGATGTGTGACTGCTCTGAATAATATTACGTTCAAATAATGTTCATTGAAGTCTTGAAATGTGTTAAAATATACATCGTGTGATAAATATTATCCAATAAAACTTTGGTATGATAAACTGAATGCGTATTTTATTCTTGTAGAACGGGCAAAGGAAGACGAAATGTCGAGTGATGAGGATAAACCACCTGCGCCGCCGGTCCGGCTTACTAGCAACCGAACCACGGATCGCGGCGATTCTGTAGCCTCTGTAGATATGAGGCCTCTTCCAAAAGGTTAGTTTGGCAACTATCCAATTGGTACTTCTTGTCGCATCCTAATATGATTTGTATTAGATTGTTTTAATCACTTGGTAAACAATAGACAAGCCAAAAGTAAAGCATAAATAAACAATGCCAGTATAGATATCAGTTTGAATATGAAATCCTTTATTATACAAAATATTACATTGTATATAAAAGCAAAACATGCTTCCCAATACTTTATATTTTCAGAACCTGATGATGGAGGTGATAGAAAAAAGAAGACCTTGAAAGCTAAAATAAAAGGCTCTAAGAGTACAGCTCACAATGACAACAAACCAAATATTAGCTATCCAACTAACTTTGAACATACAGTTCATGTGGGTTTTGATGCAGTCACTGGAGAGTTTACTGTGAGTAACAATATAGTTCTGATCCTTCATTTTTATATAGAATGTTATCATAATAGTCACCATGAAAATATATACTACCTACCACATATAAACTGGGTCTTTGGGGAAAACCCATGACACATCATCCTAACCTCATAAAAATAATATAGAGCACTAGAATATTGTGATGTGGGCATTTTTAGGTAATAGATAACATTTTCTTACAAGTACTTTGTTACCAACATTGTAGTTTTGTTAATTAAGTATCATATTTATAGTAATAGTAATTTTAAATAAAAAAGATTGCAGTTTAGTCAGTCCAAATACCTCTCTTTTAATAAAAACTATGATAATGAGATTGAGCTATGTAATGATTGGAGTGTTGTTGTGACTATCATAATGCAATAGACATGTAGAACACAATTTAACTTGTACTTAAGTTTCCCAAGAAAACCTTAATTGTACCCAGACCTTATGATCATGATTATATTATTATGTCTAATAAAAATGAGTGAGCTTTTTGCCTAAACACAATGCCTCACAGCTTTAATGCTTTGCTTTCTTATAAAAGTGGCATATCAAATATTTTTATTTGACATTACATTTTTAATTATTCTTAGTTATTGAGAAGTAATTCATATAAGACCTAGATCATTGCAATTTGATGAATTTCATTTAAGAACTATTTCACACTGTTATAAGTATTAATGTGAAGCAACTTCTTGTAGGTAATACATAACCTTAATTCTTAGTTAAAGGAAAAGCGTAAGCATGTTTCTAGTAGAGAATGTACTTTTTGACTAACAACTTGTTCGTTACCACCATGGAATGTTTAGACCACCATTGTTGGAAACTGTTTGATGGTGACTTAGTTGTCTGTTTGTAACCAAACATTGAAACAATCCTTAAGGAACAAGTAATGATATCATGTAATTGAGTTCCATGTATTTACCGCTTTTGTTTCAAGCTGCCTATGACAGTAAGTAATAGCTTAAATTATTAAAATTGCGTTCAGTACATTCTTACATTATACTCAATTTATTGAGATATATAATGTATAAATGTGCATATTTTATTAACATTTGATTTACCTACTCCTTACATTATCTGTTTGTTTTATTGTTTTCCATATTTACTGTATTTTTGTGTAAATTGCAATGTCTATATTATGTAGCATGCATAGTCTATTATCTGTACCTCTAGTGTTTACATTATGAAAACATTAATCTTCTACCTACTAGTACTTGCTTTAGTCTCACACTTCCATAGAATCGAAACTTTGTCAATATTGTAATGGATACCTGTAGAATTACTTCACAGATAAATAAATATGCTTGGAAACTTCATTATTCCTAGCTACTTAAAGTCATTGTTGGTAGTGTTAATGTAACAAAGAAACACATAACTAAAAAACTCTATTTACTTAATAGTGCAGGCTATAGTAAAGTTTAAATAAATAATCACAATTATCTAAAGAATATGAAACAAGAATTTTGCATGATGTTATGTTAAAATGAAACAAATTTATTATCCTACTACATACAATTTGTATTTCAGTAAATGCAACAATTTATTGCGCTTGTACACTCTTAAGTAATATATGTATCAGTATGATACATATAAAATCAAATAAATTTAAAAGCAAAATCATACATTTTCCAGTGTTTGATGTCAGACCATTTAAATTGTTTTCATAAAATTTACGGTTATTTAGAGATGGAGAGGGTAATAGACTGCTTTGTATAGAAACAATAAACTTGAGTCCTAATTGAGACCCGTGTACAAGCGCACACATGCTTTATAAATGGCTACCAAAGTACCAACCATAGATTAACATCTGCATGAATATTTAAATATAATCATATTATTTTGTATTGACAATATGTGATTGTTCTAAGGGCATGCCGGAGGCGTGGGCGCGGCTACTCATGGCCGCTAACATAAGCAAGCAAGAGCAGAAGAACAATCCTCAAGCCGTGTTAGACGTGCTCAAGTGGTATGACGCCTCCGCTACTCAGCCGCCGCCTTCCAAATACATGACATCGGCACAGATGCACACCACGCACTCAGGTACTTATATCGGAACTAAATTACGTTGTATCCACTGAAGTAGGTAATTACCGATGGTATCCGACATTTTTATAGGATCATCTGTGTCCCGAGTGTCATCCAGCAGTCCATCATCGTCGACGCCCACAGACACGGAGCACCCCGAACCCCCACCGCCGCCACCTTCACGACCAGACCGCACTAAAAGTATTGTAAGTGTAGTGTCTTTTATCGTACGAAAAAAAAGCCTTCCTATTTTGTAACTTTATTTGTATTAATGTATCATCGTGTTTGTTATTCTAGTATACAAAACCCATCGAAGAAGAGGAAGCACCACCTCCACGACCCACACCCGCGCCCGCTTCGCCACCACATGTACCACATCCTGCCCTCACTACACATTCAGTAAGATACTTAACTCATTCGTTTTGATTATTTAGTTATATCTAACGGTGTATGTAACGCAAATGTTTTGCACAGATTTGCAGTCGAGCGGAAGTGGGATCCGGCGGCGTGCTGGACCGCAACAAGAACCCGGCGGGCGCCCCGCTGGCCGCGCTGGCCCCGCACACGCCGCCGCCGCCCGCGCCCAACGGTGCGCCCACCAACACCGACACTGGGTACGGCTACACCACTCACATATTTATATCACATTACCTACAACTATCACAAATAGACAATTTTAGTAAAAATCCTCAATACTTAGCATAGATGTTCATTTTACTCTATAGAAGAGCAACAGCCCAGCAGCAAAGGAAAAAGAAAATGACTGATGAAGAAATATTAGAAAAATTAAGAACTATTGTTAGTGTTGGGGACCCCAATAGAAAATACACAAAAATGGAAAAGATTGGTCAGGGGTAAGTGGTTGAAATTAACTATTTGAAATTAATTACTGCATGAATGTTAATTTTCTAATTCCTTATTTATTTTAATAGTGCGTCAGGAACAGTGTATACAGCAATAGAAACATCAACTGGTATGGAGGTAGCAATCAAACAAATGAACCTAAGCCAACAACCTAAGAAAGAACTTATCATCAACGAGATCCTCGTGATGCGGGAGAACAAACATAACAACGTTGTCAACTATCTTGACAGTTATCTAGTTAATGAGGTGAGTACCATATAAATATGTGCCATATAATGATAAATAAAAGTTGGTTGCACAGTAAGGGCGAGCTCACACGCGACGTTGCGTTGAGCACCACATAAGAAACAACTGTATTTTTTACAAGATACACATTTTATGAGTTGCATCTTGCGGCGACGGTAGTTCA